TTACCCATGTATGAGTCCAAAAGACTCACCGGCTTCCCTGGGTCAGCATATTCCACGCTCCCCAGCGAAACTTCCCACGCAACAGTTGCATCATAGCAAACCGATCCTGTGTTTTCTTTGCTTAACAGCGCAACGCTGTGCATCCAAGGTATACGGTAGCAACCAACCTATAGGGCTTTGCTTCCGATGAATATTCAAAAGACACTTGTAGCATAATTATTGTTACACATTGTACATCATATGTTTCCTCTAAATGTTAGACCATAGGACATAAATAATGCGTGTTCCCACGTCTGTTCGTTGCGGCCCTGTTTGTCTCTAACCTTCACTTTCTCCGAGGTCTGGAACTTCTTGGGGATCTGGGATCAGAACGTGAAAGAGCTTATGCCTGGGAGAGGACATAGAAACCCCCAAGGACCTACATAGAACACGGCTGTACAACAAGTGGATAAAAATGCACTCACTACCAGGACCGTCGTCCAGTAATGGTAGCTAGACATGACGCCTTCATACTCCTGCGAGGTATACATCATCCTGAGAAATCTAGACGCAAGAATCGGAAGTTTTGCTCACCTGGACACGAAGATGACAAAGGTCTAACCCTCCATAGGCCTCAGCCATTATGGCCGCCCCGACCAAAAATAACCTGTTCAGCTAACAGAGGAAATTAAAAGGCAATTGACGGCGGTTAACCGAGGGCTATATCAGTCGACGAGCTGCTCTGCCAGTTTTACATTAGTGTACAAACGGATTTCTGACAGTGTTTCAGGACGTGGTGGGTTTTCGCCTGGCAAGCGTTCTCCCTATAAAAAGCCACAAATGTCCGCTTAACAACACTGCGACTTGGCGGATGTGACTCGCCACTGAATAAAGTCACTGCCCACAACTACATACTGGCAAGCCGACCAGAATCCTAATGTAATATTTTCCTGACAAGTTTTCTCTACAAACGGAATGCCCAGCCTGTTTACACTACGCACACTAGAACCCAACTTGTCGTCCTGCATTGACGAATTTATACCTCAAGATTAATTTTACAATTTGCAAAGCCTGCACAACTTTCGGCTTACTGCCGATTACATACACAGCAACGTGTTTGTTGCGAAACATAAAATGCTTGTAAACGTTGATCATGCCTGGTCAGGCGTGTCTCGGAAATTCTAGAATATACTATTTATTTATTTATTTATATTAACATAGGGCGAACAGGTCCAGCAAGCTATCAAAGTGAGGGAGACACTGCTTTGGATCGATGGAGCCTAGACCGCAAACATCCCGGTAGCCTGGTAGGATTTCCAGAGAGTTTGACTGATCAGATGAGGCTCAATTAGGGTAGGCACAAAGAGGTGGCCGTCCGATTGCAGAAGAATGGAATACAGACGGCGCTCAGTCATCTGAACGATGGCCAGTAACGTCACAGCAGTCGGAGAGCAGGATACCGATCAGTTGAGACGGGAGTTGTCGGCAAGATGAGATTGATTTTGGAGGTCAAATGGAGTAGATCGAGAGGTGGACAGGTTAGAGATGGAGGTGCTTATATAAACAGAGAGTGAACAAGTCTAGCAGGCTGTCAAAGTAAGTGCGACATAGCTTTGAGTCTACAGAGTCTAGACCGTTTAAATGTTGCTGGTCTGGAAAAGGTCAAAGAAGCAGACCGGTCAGATGAGACTAGGTTATTGCAAGGCATTGAGAGATGGTCGTCCGATTGGAGAAAGATGGAGTCTACAGGGTCCTGATGGAAGTGTCTATATTAATAAAGGGTAAACAGGTCTACCCGGCTGTTCATGTAAGCAAGACATAGTTTTGAGTCTACAGAGATTAGCTCGGTATATCTTTCTAGTCTGGAAAAGGTCAAAGAAGCATAACGGTCGGATGAGATTAGGTTATTACAATGCACTGAGAGTTGGCAGTCCGATTGGAGAAGAAATGATAGTAGAGAACGCCATAAGGAGAGGAGACGGTCCGGATAGAGAGAGGTTTACTTATAGGGTGTGAAAAGCCATGGGGCTCGCGAGGTAATGGGGACAGAGCGTTCGGTCTTCCGAATCAAATGCCGGTATCGTCACAGCAGTCTGAGAGAACTCGGAGCGCAGGGGACCGATCGGGCGCGACTGGATTAGTCGGCACACTTAAATAAGTTTTACAGTTGAGGTGGGAAGATAAATAAAGAGTCGGCAGAAATGGACAGGTTACGGATTGAAGAGGATAAATGAATATTAGGTATACAAGTCAGGCAGGCTCGCAATGTGTGAGCAGTTGTGTGTTGGTGAAGCAGAGCGTAGAACTACATTTCGTTATTCAGGAAGCAGTCAAAGAGCATAATAGGGTAGGGCACTGAGAGCACGCTCTCCGGATGAAGAAGATATAAAGACAGAGCGTGATGAGGGGAGGACAGAGTCGAGAGTAGACTTTTAGGGTAAGAAGTGCGACAGTTAACGTGGCTTACGAGGTAATGGAGACAGAGCGTTCAGTCTTCCGAGCAATGGTCGGCCACGTCACAGAAGTCCAGCAAGCTGTCGAAGTGAGGGAAACGCGGCTTTGAATCGACCGAGCCTAGACCGCTAACATCCCGTTAACCTGTAGTCCCAGATTATTTGGCTCATGGGATTAGGCTAAATTAGGGCAGGGCGCTGAGAGTTGGCCGTCCGGTTGAAGAATGATTGAACGATGGCCAGTAATGTCACAGGAGTCTGAGACTGGATTAGTCGGCGCATTGTGATTGAGGCTGTAGTTCATTTGGGGAGGCAGTTGGAGTGAGTCGCGAGGTGGACAGTAAAAGATGGATGTGGCTGCAGTAAAAGAGGGTGAACAAGCGCAGCAGGCTGTCGCGTTGAGGGAGGCATTGCGTTGAGTCTACAGAGCCTGGAACTTTAACATCCCGGTAGTATGGAAGAAGTCGAAGGGAAGCAGACTGGTCAGCTGAGACTAGGTTATTGCAGGGCACTGAGAGTTGGTAGTCCGATTGAAGAAGGATTGGAAACAGAAGACGCACCAGCAAATGACAGGATCAGGATGGAAAAAGTTTTCTGCTGGGATTTGGAGAAGCCAACGATGCTCGCGTCTTAAGAGCAAAAGGAGCGATTAGGAGAGGAAAAGGTTGGGATAGGAAGTACTTTACTGATAAGGTGTGGGAATGACATTGAGGCACTCGTGTAAAGGGGTATAGAGTGCTCGGTGTTCCGAGTATTGGCCATTGAATTCACGGTGGTCGTAGAGCAGGACGCCGATCAGATAGGACTAGGTTAGTCAGCGCGTTGAGGTTGAAGCGTATAGTTAAGGTGAGAAGACAAATAGGGAGGGCAGCAGAAATGGACAGGAATAAACTGCATAAGTGTAAGCGATTCCAGCAGACTGTCAAGGTGTAGTAGACTTAACATTGACTGCAGGTCCCAGACCATTTGCAACTCCGTAGTCATGGATGCAGTCAGACTGGTCAAATGAGACTAGGTCATGCAGTGCACTGAGTTTGCCATCCGATTGCAAGAGAAATGAAAGGAAAGAGCGCGATAAGGAGCGGACGGTTTCGGAAGGAAGGGAGCTTTATTAGTGCTGGTTGAAGAATTTGTGTGTCTATATGTGATCGGGGCCGTTCTCCCAGAGCTCGTCCTCGGGATGCAGATGCCCAGGATCTCTGCTACCTTGGGACGCTTAATAGTCTATTTATGACCGTGGAGAATTGCGTGAGACTATCAGATGCTCTGACGGCTTCCGGTAGCTTATTCCAGACATGCGCATATCTATAGAGGAAGAAGTTAGAACGTATGGAGCAACGTGTGTTGGGTAGGGAAAATGAGTGTGCCTTATGGCGTAGAGGATAACGTGTATCGCCAGGCGGCTGAAAAAACTAGCGACACTTGAGTCCGATATTTTGATTAGCTTATATAGGAAAACAAGGTTGGTTTTAAGTCGTCGCAGCCAAAGCGGTTCCAGACCAAGCTGCTTGCAGCGGCCTTGATAGTTGAGCGCAGATGCTCCTAATAGACGTTTAGTGAACGAACGCTGGACTTTCTCAATAACCATCCTGTCACTTTTACGTGAGTTAGTAACAACGATTGAGCAGTACTCTACTATAGACCTGGCACACAACTTATAGAGCATGAGTCGAGACTCTAACAAGCACATTGACTTCAGTATATAAACAATGATAGACTGGATTTGGCAGAGCTGTAGCTCGCTTGTTCCGCAAAATTCAGTGAGCAGGAATAGTGTACACCGAGATCGCGCAAAGTGAAGCTGTTATCAAGTGGTGTACCGTTAAGAGTTAATAGTTTGGGGGTATGGAGCATCGGTATGAAAGGACGTTGCATTTCTTTGGTGAAAACTCTAGTTTCCATAGATCGCACCATGTTTCAAGAGCATTGAGATTGCTTTGAATGCTAGAGAGACTATAACATAGACAGCTAGGGTCAAATGAGAAAATAATTTTCATGTCATCGGCAAAAAGGTAGGGCGTGGCGTGTTTGAAGACCTGGAATACATCTTTAATATACAACAAAAACAGCAGAGGACCCACGACGCTGCCTTGGAATACTCCGCTGGTTACGGATGCCTTTTGGGTGAGACGTCGCCCAGTTGCACTGACCGCGTTCGGTTGGAAAGGTAGGAAAAAACCATGAATGAGATGGCTGGAGACAACGTATGCTGCTAGATTAGTCATTAAACTATTGTGATGGTGGATGGGCATCCGTAGTGCGATACCCACCGATCTAAGAAGGCCCGGATAACAGTCTCAGCTGTGCAGTCTGTTACGGGAATGGCTTCTGGCCATCTGATGAAGCGGTCTACACATGTAAGAAGGTATACGAATCCGCGTGAAGGAGGCAATGGACCTACCAGGTCTAAGTGTACATGCGAGAACCGAGAGTCCGGGGCAGGAAATGAACCAAGAGGACTGCGGGTGTGACGATGTACTTTAGAGCGCTGGCATTGAAGGCAGGCGCGAGCCCAGGTACGAACATCTTTGTTTACGCGTGGCCAAACGAAACGTTCGGTGACCAGTTTCAAAGATGCACGGATACCGGGATGTGACAGTGAGTGCAGTGCGTCGAAGACTGTGCGTCTGAAGGAGACGGGCACGAGAGGTCTAGGACAACCTGTGGAAGTGTCACAGAGATGGTTCCTTCCGTGGTTTGGAGAGGAACAGGTTGCACATGCAGCGAAGTGGACTGCAGAGTGCGCTGTATATCTTCGTCTTGAGCCTGAGCCGATGCCATTGCGGCAAGGTCGACGGTAGGCAAAGACTGCAGAGTGAGGTTGACGCGTGAGAGAGCGTCGGCGACGGGATTGTCGACACCTGAGACATGACGTATGTCAGCAGTGAACTGCGTGACAAAGTCTAGGTGTCTTGTTTCCCGTGGTGAGTATTTGTCGCTAGCAGAGTTGAAGGCGAAGATAAGGGGCTTGTGGTCAGTGTAGACCGTGAAAGCGCGGCCTTCAAGTGTGTGCCGGAAGTGACGTATTGCTAGGTAAATGGCGAGCAGTTCTCTGCCAAACGTGCTGTAGCGGGATTCCGCTGGCTGCAGGCGCTTGGAGAAGAACCCAAGGGGTTGCCAGTGCCCACCAACGTGTTGTTGGAGGACGGCTCCTACCGCGACGTCTGAGGCATCAGTCGTAATAGAAAGAGGTGCAGTCGATTCCAAATGAGCGAGGAGGGCTATGTTGGAGATAGCATCCTTGAGCTCGGCGAAGGCTGCCTGTGCTGTGTCAGGGAAAGCGAACTTACGTTCATTTCCTCTGAGTAAGTCAGTCAGTGGCTGCATGAGCTGAGCGCAGCGCGGAATGAAGCGTCGATAGTAGTTGACCAAACCACAAAATCGACGGAGGTGCTTGAAGGAAGTCGGAGCTGGGAAGTCCTTGATTGCCTGGATCTTATCAGGAAGGACTTCGATACCAGACGATGAAACAGGTGGCCTAGGAATTCTACCGTTGATTTGCCGAGTTCGCACTTAGTCGGGTTGACTGTGACACCGTGTTGGGTCAAGCGCTGGAAGAGAGCTCGAAGATGCTCGAGGTGCTCTTGTTCCGATGAACTGGCTACTAAGATATCATCGAGGTAGGAATATGCGAAGTCAAGGCCACGAGTGACATCGTGGATGAAGCGTTGGAAGGTTTGTGCGGCGTTGCACAGTCCAAATGGCATCCTTAAAAATTCAAACAAACCGAAAGGAGTGATGACGGCTGTTTTAGGAATGTCATTGTCTTCCACAGGTATCTGGTGATAGGCGCGAACCAGATCGATCTTGCTGAAGATCGTCTTACCTGTGAGGCATGCGGTAAGGTCCTGCATGTGTGGGATGGGATACCTATCTGGGACGGTTAGGCGATTGAGTGCGCGGTAATCACCGCAAGGGCGCCAGTCACCAGATTTCTTGGGGACCATCTGCAGGGGCGAGGACCAAGGGCTATCGGAAGGGCGGATTATTCCAAGTTCAAGCATGTGCTCAAACTCCGCCCTAGCTACCTTTAGTTTCTCAGGCGATAGTCGGCGTGGACGGCATGACACAGGTGGGCCATTCGTCCGTATGTGGTGCGTGACTTGAGCTGCCACGGGCAAAGCTGCGTTCATTGGCTGAACGAGCTTGGGATACTGAGAAAGGAGATTAGCGTAGGCTGACGAGGTCTGGGGAAATGCATAGACCGGGGATATAGATGTCACATCGGCGGTGCTGCCACGTACGCTGAGTTTTGTTGCAGTGTCGACTATCATCTGGCGTTTCGCATCGACCAAGAGGTCGAAATGCCTGAGAAAGTCAATGCCGATGATGGCAAAGGGGACTGCAGCGACAGTGAATACCCAGCGGAAAGTGCGCCGAAGACCTAGGTCCAGGGTAAGTGACCGATGACCATAGGTGGCTATTGGTGTGCCATTGGCGGCACTGAGACTTGTCGACAGAGAAGCGGTAGGCTCACCTGGCATAGGGGGAATGACGCTGACTTCCGCCCCGGTATCAACTAAGAACTGGGTATCGGAGTCATAATCCCTAATGTAGATGAGACGACTTTGAGCTTTGCTGACGTTCGTGGCCATTACAGGCCGGCGTGGCGGATCATCTATAGCGGAGTAGCTACACGGCTGTACGCACTTACGGGCTTTAGTACCGAAACGCGAGTGGTAAAAGCAGTAACCTGAGGCATCAGGTTTTGTGCGACGGTGCGATGATCCAGAGCGGTTGCGGTGCTTACGTTTTAAGGTGAGTTCTTTGATCTGGCGCTGAAGCGACGCTATCTGCAATGATAATGCGTCTATTGCCGACGGAGGGCTAGTCGCGCCTGTCGTTGTGGTTGCGCCAGCGCAAAGCTGCTTAAGTGCTTTGGTTTCAGTCTCTGGCTGGTGCCGTTCGATGACGCGGTCTGCTAGATCTGCAATTGCTGTGATGGGCAAGTCACTTGCTACTGCAAGGATAGCCTGTGTGCTTTCAGGAAGGCGTTGCATCCACAGCTCGCGGAGAATCCCTACGTCCATGTTGGACGTGCCGATGAGCTGTTGCATTTCGCGCAACAAGGCTGAGGGCATCCTACCTCCTAGCTGCAGATCACTAAATAGCTGCTGCAGACGGACCTTGTCAGAAGGCGTGATTCGCTGAATAATAGCCTGTTTAAGTGTCTCGTATTTCATTACTAGAGGGGGGCAAAGTATGATGTCTCTCACCTGCGAGGATATATTCTGAGGAAGGCAAGATATTAGCTGGTTATACATGGCGAAATCAGAAGAAATCTTACGAATATAAAATACGGATTCTAAATGTAAAAACCATAATAAAGGGTCATTCTCCCAAAAAGGGTGAGGGGCTAAGGTAACAGAATTGACCATGACAGGCTGAACAGCGTTAACCGCGCATGGAGACGGCTTATCCTCTAGATAATCCATTGCAAAAAGCAGATAAAAGATGTGGTAGGTGAGAAAACAATATGATCACAAGTAATGAATCACAAAATCACTGGAACGAGCTCACCAGAATGAAAATGCAAAATGGCGGGCGGCGTGTTCCTGACAGGGGGTCACCAATTGTTGGGCGGAGCCTGGGATACTAGTCGGTAAGCAATGACACGTAAGACGTGTCAAATACGACAGTATAGAAGTCGGAGGCAACTGAACCCAACGTATATTGTGCAGGCTACAAGAATAGGAAGCGAATCAGACAGAGCGAGAAACGTGCAGCGAGGAACTCACCAAAACGGTTTGTGACAACGGACGTGCAGTCAGTAAAACAAATGGACGTTTCGAAGGTTAAAACAACCATAAAATCCAATGTTACAAGATACTGAAAGAGCATGTTTTCTGTTGCACTACAGATGTTCGTCTTAGTGATAAACGATACACAACACTTTGCTAAAGTGCAATGATTTAACCACTGATACTTTACGTTTCACGTTGGAACATTTTGATTTTAAGTTTCTTTTGCATATCCATCCTGCTGGTCTTGTAAATTTATGCTTTTTATCCTAGCGTACACCATTGAACCATTTATACACTGTCATCACTTCACCTACTGCGCCTTTTCTATTTACTCTACCCATGCATGAAAGCATTTTATTGTCGATTCACTGATGAATGCTCCTCATGAGTGCTTCGACTGTTTCTGCAAATTGCACAACTTTTGGCCACAGCCAATTACATGCATTCTGACGTACCTAAGGCTCAACATAACTGCCTTTAACGTTTGATCAACCCTGAGTTGGTCCGCCAGGATGAATTCAAGAAGTACATGTAAATGTACTTACAAAAATCAAACTTTCATAGAGCTTGTTTCGCAACCTGTTCTTCGCTTCCACTGCAGCATTTAAAGCTTAAATTAACGCTCTTCCACGTAACTGACTGTTGGCAGTCTACAATCCAATATTCTCAAAACCACGAGCGGCTTCCGCTTGGGGTTACACTTGCTGTTCCCCGCACTGCCCGCTGCGTCTAACTAACTTACCAGTGACACCGTAGCACTCCACCTACGAGTGCTTCACTGAATCTATTGACCCGCCGTTGCACCATTTTCACAACTGTAGGTAAAGAGCATTGACTGCTGCGCAACCACAGCTTGGCAGCAGCTACCGCCTTTAGCCTTATCACTAACGCTCCTTCTATTACCTGATTGGTTTACAGTTCTTACCACTGATTCTCTAGACTACGACAGTGTATTGCATAGTCCATAATGCTGCTCTTACATTCACTGTACTCTGAGTCCATTTGACTTACATTGGACACCGTAGAATACAAACTTCCAGTGGTTAGCAAGATCCATCGTAACTCCGTTGCACTCCATACCGCCCAAAGGTTGGCTCCTGGTATAGCTTGAACAGCGACCTTATCTTTGCTTCAGCTGCTTCAGCTGATCTGTCAACTTACCTGTTTTCCAAGTAATTGTCTCCTCGGCAGTGCAACCACACATTAAACCTCAACTAAGAGAGGATTCTGCTGTCTAGTTAATCCGATACCTTATCTTACTGCAGTCTGCGTCTAAGTGAATTACCAATTACAACGTGGAAAAGCCCGTTCGGGTGGTTCATTTCTATTATTGCATCTATGTTGTGCCATTTCTTTCCACAATAGTATGTTAAGCGCATAGCTTGTACCGCAACCCTATCTTCGCCGCCACTACGGCATTTGATCCTATCACTACTGCTCCTCCACTACACTGAATTCTAGGCAGTGCTTGTCCTTTGACCTATCAAACACGAGAGTCCCCCGCTTTGTAAGTAAAGTGACAGTTAACTTTACTGTACTCTGGGTTCATTTGGATTACTTTGTCGCTGTAGAATCCCGATTTTGAGTGTTTCACTTAAGCTGTTGTACGCCGTGGCGCCAAAACATCCTACAGATGTTGGCCCTAAGTATAGCTCGCACGTCTACTCTGTCTCCGACACAGCTACAATGCTTGATCCCATAAGATAAGTCTCTTCCACTTAATTGACAGCTCGGCGGTCCAGGTCCCCATAACCCCTCAACCACAACCGGCTTCCGCTACGTAGTTAATCCGGTTATTAACTTCACTTTTCTCGGCGGATAAACGACTTACCCGTGACGCGGTTAAATGCAACTTCGAGTGATTCATTAATCTTTTGTAGACCTGCTGCGACAACTTATGCCACAGGTTTTGGCTCTTATCTAGCTCTTGCAGCAACCTTATCTTCGCTTCAGCTACGGCATTTAATCCAATAAATAATCTCTCCTCTACTTAACTGACTGCTTGACAGTCCATGTTCCCTTAATCTCTTAAGCTGGCGCAAATTTTGCTGTAGTAACTTCGGCTCCTACTACACTGACCTCTGCGTACAATGGACAAACCAGTGAGGCCATAAAACTCCCCCTCGAGTGGTGCACTTAATCTATTTTAGCGCAGCTGCGCCAGTTTATCCACTAAGGGCGGTTTAGAGCAGCAATTGTTTTGTAGCCCTATATTGGCTGTAATTACGGCTTTTAAATAAATTACGAAATGTTTTTATCCTAGCCTGTGCGAGGCAAGCCACGGATGCATGAATCTGTTGGTGCGACCGTGTATGTTTTTATGTCAATTATAGCAATGACAGTAGGAAATTGTTCAGATATCCACGACTGAAACTGTACAAATGGCACTAGTATAAAGGGAATAGATTCGATGGCCGTGTGGGCGGGATACGTTTAATGTGGCATTACAATTCTGCCATATATAGCAGTACTACATCTGAAAAGTTCAATGCAGAATTGCTGAGGATCAACCAGAAGAAAATTAGAAGAACACGATCGACAGAGTTGTGACGATACATTTCGTTCGTGTGGGTGCGTGTACCACAAAGACCAACGGTGAACTCGTGGAAAGAGAATTGACGATAGAATATGTATACGTAGAAGTGTCAGTGTGCTGAACATTTCAAGAATGGTGAATTTTGGCACGTGTTGACTTCCCAGTGTGCATCCAGGGGCAGTGACTTTATTCAGTGGCGAGTCACATCCGCCACGTCGCCTTGTTGGTAAGCGGACACCTGTGGATTTTTTATAGGGAAGAACGCTTGCGAGGCAAAACCCCACCATGTCCAGCAACACTGTTGCCGATCCATTTGAATGGCAAGTTATAACTGGCTACCCTTTTTGTTTAGGGAGTATTCGCTCGGTTATTCGCTGTCGAGTTTCGTCTCCTATTCTCTTTTGGCAGACGCTTGTTGACCGAGTGCCTGTTTTGTCCCTGGGTCCTGTCTTGTCCTGTATTGATCGAATGATCGAGCCCGTTTGGTGGGTTCATCATGAATTGAACAAGTTTTGAATGTGATGTGTCCGTCGTCTTTACAGCCACGTAAATTCTTCGGGGGAGAGCCAAAAATTATCGTGTTGAAGCGCGGAAGAGTGCAGAACCCAGTGGTTTAGGCTCGGAAGTATTTCAGGTTGTCCAGAACACGAAATCGAACGTCGCTTCGAGGCTGTAAAATTGGTTATAGGTATAGGCATCCAAATCCAAGTGAAGGATCAAAACAGAGTGAACAGCTCCAGAAGGGTAGTAACTAAAACGATTTATCCGATAACAAGAAATGGCCGTAGACACTTGTTGTAGCCTTGAATCGGGATTTGTCCAGTTGCGAGCGACATTGAATCGGCAGGAGAATCTACCTTAAAAAATCTAATGAAATGTCCTTGTATGTACGTTGATATTAGGTGTCATTAGGAGAGCTCCAAGTAAGAATTAGGTAAAATATATAATTGCTCAAGCTAAGCCCAGTTGTTCAAACCTCCGGATATTTGTGTCCTTCCAAGATAACGAATAGTTAGTTCGGTAGGTAAGTTGTAACAACGGTAAATAATCTTCCATCCATATTCTGGTAAATGAAACTTATGCCTCGTACTGTGGTGTTGGTGCTGCAGCGATGGACGATTCTTGAGTTACTTGATGCAGGATCTGTGAGGATCTAAGAAAATAGGTAATGAACAAGGCAGTCATACAAACAGACGACAAAAATACATCCAGCAGACAATCAAGCACATGACCAGTTTAGCAGTGATTGAATTAATGTACCCCCATAACATGTAAAGATGTTAATCAAATATCTCATATATATGTGTTCCATCCGAAGAGAAGCCAGTAGACCCCGGTTAGATAGTGGCATCAGATATGTTCCCAATTGTGGATAAAAATGAAGTGGGTGCAGAGAGCGTTCGCTGGGTCCTAAAGCGAATATGCACCATCTGCCGGAAGACAGATGGAGACGGATGACATGCGCTGCATATGGAAAGAACCTTTCGCTCAAAGACCTTGACAGTGAGGCGTTGCCTTAAGGTTTTAACTAATTGGGATTAGAGAAAGCCGGTGACAGGCGGACACTAGTAACTTAACGTTGGAAATGCCGTTGTGGTAAGAAGGGGTGAAAGCGGAGCAGACAGGTTGAACTAAGAGGAGAGAGTGGTGAATGAGTTATCTCTGTGGTGATTAACGCTTCACAGTCTGGACCTGGCAATAAAAGAGATATAAGTCTTATATAAGTGGGAGAAGATGTGTCAGGACTGAGTCGACGTACGTTGGTTGAGGAATAAAAAATGTCAGTTGAATTTAAAGGGTTCGATAGAGAGGAAAACCGGTGTAGACTAACATGCCGTATCGCTGAAGTCATAGGTGACCAGCACACGAAGCGGCTTCCGAATAAATGGTGACAACGGTGTGC